CAGCCGCTGATGACGGCCGACTTAAGATGGCGTCCGCCCGAACGGCCAATTGCTCCGGGTATCCAGAATCCAGAATCCGGATATTATCCACATACATTCGCCTGATGTCGGGCACACGCTTGATGATTCCGCTCGGGGATTAACGTCATTTCTCGAGTGGAGTGGTTCTAATTGCACAGAGAGCCTGATAGTTGATGGCGAATGGAATTGATACTCCTGATGAAGCTGGAAACGGGGAAAATTCGCGGGATATTCAATACACATAATAAAAATCAGCGGGGGGTTCGAATTCTTCACCCTGCTAGGGCAAATGGTAAGGGGGAGGTATGGGAAGATCGGCTAATTGGCTAATTTAACGACCACTAATGGAAGAAATAGTACCTTTTAAAGATTATTTTCGATCCTAATATGGATGCGTTTAGCTGGGCTTAATTATATTTAATTTCCCAATATATTTTTGTATTTTATATTAAGTGTTGTTAACCTAGTTATGTTAAATTGTAACTAATATAAGAAACCTTTATAAAAGAAATCAGAATACTTCGAATGGAAAAAATAAATTTTTTGTACTAACCAGAGGTATAACAAGGGATTTTCGTGTGAAAAAAAAATTAGAGCCGTTTTCTCGACCGCATGTGAAATTTAAAGTAGCCTTTAAACCTTGAAAAAATATGGAAATTAAGAGTTTAACGCATACACATCTAAAAATTCAAATTATTCACACTGCACTATGGGCTTTTAATTTAACTAATTTAAAATTACTTATTGCGTTTCTTTTTACACATCTAAAAAATTCATATTATTCACACTGTTAACTTAGTTTTGAAATATGTTTATTCCAATTTATGTGTATTTTTATAGAAAATTAAAATTTGTTCCTTATTTAGTGGGATAAAACAAAAAACCCCACCCCCCCCCCCAAAAAAAAAAAAACCCAATTTTTAAAAAAAAAAAATTTTTTTTTCACAAAAAAAAAAACCTTCCCCCCTTTCCCCCCTTTTTCCCCCATCCCCCACTTTAAAAAACCAAATTAATTTTTTTCCCACGCAATTTTAAAAATTTTTGGGCAAAAAAAAAAAAAAATAAATTTTTTTTTTAAAATTTTATTAAAATAAAAATAAAAAAAAAAAAAAAAAAAAAAAAAAAAAAAAAAAAAAAAAAAAAAAATAAAAAAAATAAAATTTTTTTTAAATAAATAAAAAAAAAAAAAAAAAAAAAAAATTTAAATTTTATTTTAATAAAAAAAAAAAAAAAAAAAATAATTATAATATTAAATATATAAAAAAAAAAAATATTAAAAAATAAATTTTTTTAAATTAAATAAAAAAAAAAAAAAAAAAAAAAAAAAAAAAAAAAAAATAAAAAAAAAAAAAATAAAAATTTAAAAAAAATTTTTTTAAATTTTTAAAATAAAATTTAAAAATTTTAAAAAAAATAATAATAAAAATTTAAAAAAAAAAAAAAAAATTTAATAATTAAATATAAATAAAAAAAAAAAATTTAATAAAAAAAAATATTATAAAAAAATAAATTTTATTTAAAAAAAAAAAAAGGGGGGGAGAAAAAAAAAAAAAAAAAATTTAAAAAATATTTTTTTTAAAAAAAAAAAAAAAAAAAAAAAAAATTAAAATTAAAAAATTTTAATAATATATTTTAAAAAAAAAAAAAAAAATAAAAAATAAAACATAATTTAATTAATATTTAATTAAATAAAAAATCACGTCATAAGTAGACAAATTCCATCCTCTTAAAAGTATTACTCATTCAATTTGTTTATCACATTTTGTTTCTGATTCACGAGTTTCAAAACTTATCACGTCAGATTATGGGATGAGTTCAAATTCAATTTAAAAGTCCTGAAAATTTAATCGTAATCAAATTCATTGCCAACCATAAATACATAGTTGCTTTTTCCGAGAATGTTTATTTTTCCGAACAAAAAAAAACCAGTATTCTCTGTGATAAGTTGTTTTCTGTAAAGTTTTTAGCAGTAAATGTTTCATTGACTGGCGGATGTTAAGTTAAAGGTCTTTGGTGGTATTCAAGGAAATAAATGATTAAGTGTACACTGAAGACTTTAGACGTCCTTAAATGAAACGTGAACGTAAACTAACTTGGGATGTTTTAGCCGAAGTTTTATCCGATCGTTACTATGCGAACAATAGAATAAAAGAGTCCGATCAAAACGCGCTTTTGAAATGATTCAATTTTTGCAAGTTATATTCGATCGTTTTTATGGAAGCTATAAAACGATGCACGTTCCATTGGGTCGCTTTTCAAATTTAATCTGCGTTCTTTAGAACGTTGTGAAAGTTTCAAGTTGCTAGCTTTTAAGCCGAGTTCGCCAACGTTATTGAAACCGAGGGACGGACATGGCTATCCTGATCAAGAATATGTCCATTATACACAAACTTTATAGTGTCGGAAACGTCTCCTTCACTGCGTTACGAGGATATAAAAATAAAACAATCAAAAAATTTCGTGTTGTACGGCGCTTAGAAAAATTGTACCCGTGTTTCGCGTCGGGCTTCATTGTCTTAAAAGTACAGTCCATGGGCATCTCTAGTTCAAAGGCACCTACTGCAACTTTATGATTTAGTTCCTCGATTCAAAAAAATATAAAAAAAAAAACAAATTGAATAACAAAACTTTTAATTTTGCTTTGAATTGATATACACGATTTTCGTAAAGTGAAAGGTAATATTGAATTCGTTGGAAAAGATGTAACTAGGAGATGGAAGCATTTCCAACCCATGTCCGTCTCTCTGTCCGTGCGTATGTTCCTGCGCAACGCAAGTTTATTTAATCACGGATCAACGCCCACAAACCAGACAGAGTTTTAAACATTTTTGCAAAACCCAGGTTTAATTATCCAGAATCTTTATTTTTATACCCGTTGCTCGTAAAACAAAAGCCGAGTCGATCTAGCCATGTCCGTCTGTCTGTATGAACGCTGATATCTCCGAAACTACAAAAGCTACACCACTCTAACGCCCACAATTGCCTTAAACGACTTTTAAATGTGTCTGACGCCCACATCTTTAAAGATATCGGAATACTATAATATACGATATTGTTGTCTTTATCAACATCTATCAAAATGTAGAAGACATTTTTTAAATCGGACCATTGGTTTAAAAGTTGTGAGCAAATAATGGAATTCAAGCTCACTTTGCTACATGGATATTTTCATCTCCCTCGCACTTCCTTTATCTGTGTAACGGATACTCGACTATAGCGTTATCTCTTGTTAATATTATAATCTTTAGTGCAAAAAAATAATTTCTTTAGAACTTGGCATCAAATGCAATAAAATTTTGGATTTATTAAAAAAAGTATTTATATTTTGAAAAAGAAGGAAGCAAAAGAAAGACAGCAGTAGCCGACAAAAGAAAGCTACATAAACAGATTTTTCCTGGAGATCACGACCCCTATCCTGAAAAAGTTCCATCACGTCACAGTTGTGGAAAAATCAAATTTTTCCATCTCGGCACATTTTAGAGCTTAATAATAACTAAACCCTTCGTAGCCCTTTTAGCTTCAACATAACACAATAATCTTTCTGGTGGGACCCCTACTTTTTCAGTTAAAAAGCATTTTTGTCACTTTTTATATTTTAATTTTTATATTTTCAATGTTTTGTGTGAGACCGGATTCAGTTTAAACATAAAAATATGAGGTATCCCTATCCCTATCACTACAGATGTAAAGTAACAAATTTGAACTTACTAAATGCGATTGTACTATGAAAGTACTTACAGAATTAAATGTATCTTAGCAAACAGAACGATCTCCTTTTACTCCCACGGCCTTAATCACTATCTTACTATTTTGCATGGCAAGTCACGGTTCGTTTTCTTTCTCGTAATTTATCCGCCAGATCTGCATTGTTACGTTGCGTAAGCCCCCACATCTAACGGTTAATTCGCCAAGACGGAAACGAAGTTGCTGTTTTTATTGTTGTTGGCTGCCACTGATTGGAGAGCTCTTTTGCGCCCTCATTGTTTTTGTTGTTGCTGCGGCTGTTGTGGGGGGCAAAAAGGAAAAGGCAAAGGAAAACCCAGCAAAACAGTTTCAATTTGGAGGCAATAAAGTGCGAGAGAGCGAGAGGGGTGCCGATTCAGCCGTACGCCTACGTGCAAATATGCGATTTCAGCTGACGGAAATTGCAAGTTGCGATTACATGGGCACTCGTTCTACCTTGTTTGCACATGGTCTTATGTATCTCGAACTGTTTGTATATGGATAAGAGCTTGCCAGAGTCATAAAACCTCTGCCATTTATGTACAGCCCTTCTTCCCTCTCCCTCGATTCGATTTGTACATACAGCCACGAACAAAGAAACGGCTGGCAAGGCAGAAAAAGAAAAACGCGCAGTCGACGTCGCCGCCAACGCAGGCAGCGCTCGACGAAGTGGCGACCGAAAAGAGCGTGTGCCTCAGTCGAAAACCGACCTTCAACGAGAGCGGATTGCCGACGCAGCGCGGAGCGAAAGAGCGAGCAGGCGAGTGACTACGAGCGAGAGCGACGCCCCGCAACAAGAGCAACAAAAGAGCCGAGTGCGCGCGCGAGCGAGACAGCAACTTGGTTGTCCAGTGAGAGGCCGGCGAGAGCGAGACGGCCAATCGGCGAAAAGCGACGAAAAAGAAAACAAAGATACTCGCCCGGAGCAGTTGGCTACCTGACTTGGCCCGACCGTATGTGCGCGAGTGCGAGAGAGTAAATAGCGGACGACGCGGCAGAGTACATAAACGAAAAGCAGCGTGGTCGCAGTCGAAAAAAAACACTCAAAGCGAACGGACGTGTGCGGTCGGTTTGTCGAATATTCTACCTTTATCGCTAATCAAACAGAGTGAAGCGACCACTATAAATAACCGAGCATAAAGCGTGTGTTTGGATTACAGCCGCGAGCTCCAAGCTAAAGTTACAAGATAGTATTTCGGGTAAATAGGAAAATTCGAAAGCAAATTTCCTTTGTGCGACCGAATGCCGTAGCAGCAGCAACAACAACGACGACGTCTGCTGCCTTATGTACGACGCGCGTGTTAGTGTGAGTGCAGAAAACATAGAGCAAAGCATAATACACAATAAAGGTGCCCACCAAAGCAGAGCGGCCGAAAGTCAGCGCGTGTTTGTGTGGTTTGCCTGCAGTTCGAGCAGCAAAGAAGTAAAAATAAAATAAAAAGTGAAGTATAGTGAAGAAGGAGAGCGCGAGAGAAGCGAAAAACGCTGACTCAAACTGGAGTACCGATACTCTGTGGATTATTTACTTGGATTATTACCCTGCCATTGGATTATATATGTATGCGAGGCGACCACCGCGATGCCAATTAACTGGCTGGATTATTAGTGGATTAAAAATTGGATTCAGAGGTAAATGATTGGCGTTTACCAACACTGCTCACGACCGGCAGCTGTTGCGCTCTCTCCCCCGCCCCCGCCATGCCTCTGCCACTGTCTCTCTCTTCTCTCCCCTCTTGTGGCCCCCTCTATCTGCCCCAACAAGTGAGAATTTCGATTGGACACACGACAATTGAGTAAAGGGGAGCATGAGAATTTCCGAGTGTGTGTGACGGATTTTTACTGCTATTTCATTTTGCAACGTTTTCGTTTTATGTTTATGCCATGTACTTATTTCTTTGAATGAAAGTTATGTGCGTGTGTGTGTTTGTGAAAGAGGAGATAAAGCCGCAGTCTCGACTCTGCATTCTCCGAATTTTCGCTGGCTTGCTTGCTTGTTGTTGTTCATTGTCACAGTCTCGCGTTTCCCTTCCTTTTACTTCCCTTTCGCATCCCATTTCTTCCCTTCCCTACACACACACACGCACACAACACTCGAATGAGAAATTCCGCTGCTTTTTTTTTTCTGATTATCCTTTTCATGTTGGTACTCACTCACATCTTTTTTTTGCGCGCGAGAATCCCTGAGACCTTAACCATGGGAATGGGCTGGGTTCAAAAAGAAGGGACAGGGCTAGCAGAAGGGTCCCCTCACTTTTCGCACAACACTTAAAAGTGATGTAAAAAAGGATTTAAAGAGCCTTCTGGCGGCTCTTTTTCGCCCTCTCGCATATTCATTCATTCATATTCCATTGCCATATTCCCCATACAAATATTTCAGCTCTGGAGTTGAAAAAGTTTTTCGGAAAAGTTTTCCGTACGTACCTTGACTTTTTACTGGCGCGTTGATGCAAAAACAACTTGAAATTGTTTGAAATACACATTTTTACACCCAACCCCAGACCCCCGAACCGCCCCCTCTTTGAATGTACTTGGCATCTGGTTAAAACTCCACTCGGCTCCGTAATAAAACAAAACACCCCCCTTCAACTCTTTTACCCCCTTTTTGCTCCCCCGAGTGTTGTGCATTTCAATATATTCGACGTAGGCATTCCCATGGCAACTACAACATCCATTATCGAAGGCCCCCGCATCCATCGACTGATTGCAAATAATAGCTGGCAGATTGCTTTATGCCCGGCGACTCCTTTCAGTCTACCGCCCAAGTCCCGAAAGCTTTAATTTCGGATTTCAAGTCTGTTTTTAATGTGTTTTTTGATTTCCTTGGGTTTAATCATCAAAAAAGTTGACATTGCTCATTTGTAGAAAGAAAACTAAATTAAATCCGTCAAATTACTTGGACATCATTTTGTATTTATTATTACAAAAATTTCAGAACCAAAACTGCAAATCATATAAAAAATATTTTTATACCCGTTACTCGTAGAGTAAAAGGGTATATTGTATTCGTGCAAAAGTATGTAACAGGTAGAAGGAAGCGTTTCCGACCCCATAAAGTATATATTCTTGATCAGGATCACTAGCCGAGTCGATCTAGCCATGTCCGTCTGTCCGTCTGTCCGTCTGTCTGTCTGTCTGTCTGTCTGTCTGTCTGTCTGTCTGTCTGTCTGTCCGTCTGTCCGTATGAACGCTGAGATCTCGGAAACTATAGAAGCTAGAAGATTGGCATTTTGCATGCAGATTCTAGGAATTCCTACGCAGCGCAAGTTTGTTTCAAAATGGTGCCACGCCCCCTCTAACGCCCACCATCGCTTATATACAATTTTAAAAATTTAATATGGAGCTGATTTCAAGGAACGAAAGAAACAGACTCAAGACGAACACAGCGCTACCACCGAGAATTTACGGACTCCCCAAAATTCACAAAGAGGACACCCCACTGAGACCAATATGTTCAATGATCAATGCACCTTCGTATCACCTTTGCAAATATGTATGTGATATATTAAAAAACTTGACCACAGATTCTAAATTTAACATAAAAAGTGCAATAGAATTTAAAAATAAGGTTAATGACGCATATATAACAGATGACGAAAAAAAAAATGGTGTCCTTCGATGTAGTTTCGTTGTTTCCCAGCATACCGACTGGCTTAGCACTAACAGTAATACAGTCCAAATGGAAAGACATACAAGAACACACAAAAATCCCAAAACATTATTCATGGACATTTTAAGCTTCTGCATTACAGAAAACAGATATTTTAAGTGGGAAAATGATATATACACACAATTGAAAGGACTTCCCATGGGATCTCCTGCATCACCAATAATAGCAGACATTATTATGGAGGAAATTCTTAAACCAATTGAACAAACAAAATTCCTTACCAAATACGTTGATGATCTCTTCGCTATTGTAAAGGAAACGGAAATACAGAATACATTAAAAATATTAAACACATATCATAAAGACGTACAATTTACGATTGCAATAGAAAATGACAACAAACTTCCCTTCCTAGACGCATGTGCACACCGGATCAACAACCAAATAAAATTAAACTGGTACAAAAGCCTATCGCCTCAGGACGAATAATTAGCTACTACTCAAAACACCCACGAAATGTTATAATAAACACAGCACAGAATCTAGCCAACCGGATTATTAATACAAGTGACAAAATTTTCCACGAAGATAATAAAATAGTTATAAAAACATTTTAAGTAAGAATGATTTTCCACTGAAGGTTATTCATCAAATAATTAAAAATATTAACCAGAAACACAAACATCCAGAATTACAAGAAAACAAAACATACAAATCCTTTATATACATTCCTAGATTCTCCGAACGCCTTACCTTATCAAACATTTATGACCGTGACAAAATTCATTAGCTTATAAACCTACAAAAACAATGGCATCAATATTTAGCAATATGAAAAGCAAAATTGAAATATTCGATAAACACAATATTATTTATAAAATTCCGTGTGCTGGTAACGGCTCAGAAAACTGCAATAAAATATATATTGGAACAACTAAAGCCAAACTAAAAACAAGAATAGCGGGCCACAAATCCGACATAAAAAACAACATTAATTTAAATATGCCAAAAACTGCACTTGCAGCGCACTGTGCGAGCGAACGACACTTGCCTAATTTCGATGAAGCGGGTGTGGTACAACAAGAACAACATAGAAATGCTGCACATCATCAACACACCGACAAACATTCGACTTAATTTCAAGACAGACACAGAAAACGTCGCTCATATATACAGACACTTACTGGACAAACAAAAATACGTAGGTTAGTTACTCTCTTGACTCCGCGGCAGACGCTCGATTTGTCGTTTTTTGTCGCTTAACAAAAATTGTATGTATTTTTGTAACATTAGTTTTATACGTTGTTTATAATTTGTGTGTTGTTGCTAGCCCCTGAAGACGGACTCCGATGCGGGACCGAAATATTTTGGGAAGAAATTGGAAACAAAACTGTGTTTTATTACATGGATCCATGACCTTGAGCCAGCCAAACAAAACATTAAGTACAAAACAGGTCGCCAAAAACAACAAAAAGTTAAAAATTTTAATATTTTGGAAAAGTAAAAATGCAGTTTTATTGTGTTTATCAATACCTATCGAAATGTGAAGAAATTTTCAAATCGGACCATTCGTTAAAAGTTATGCGTGATCAACGTTTTCTTCTCTATCTCCATCTCCCTCGCCTCCCTTTACCTGAGTAACGGGTATCTGATAGTTCCGACTATAACTCCCTCTTGTTTTTAAATTAATTTTAAGTCAGCTGAGTTCTTTGTAGTTTAAAATTTCTTCAAAAATCATCCGTTCTATAGATCTAAGTAAAGATCTCTACCCTAAAACTCATAGTAGATATTAAGTCACAAAGAAACATGCAAAAGACGAGATTTCACTACAGAAAAATACGATCCCACCGAGTTCATTAACTCTACAAGTTTTCCCAGAAAACGTACATTTCCCTCGCCACCATTATTCTTTTGTAAAGTCCGCGGGGAGCGAAGCTTTAAGCTTTTCCACTAAGAAGCTATATAGCTTCAGCTTATTGCTTTCCGCGCTCAGCCGCTGATTTATTTATAATCTTCAGCACACTCTCTTCTTGAAGTCGCTTTTCATTTTACCATTTTCCATGCGCTTTATTCGCCTTTAATTTCAACTTCTTTGGTTATCTATTTTGCAGATTGACGCTTGTGCGAAAAACAAAAGCGAATTTTAGCAGCGAGAGTGTATTATCTACTATGATGACGCCAGAGTCGAAAGCAATATTGCCAGCGACAACAACAAAAGCAACGGCAACGACAACAGAAACAACAACAGCAACAATGGCTCATACACAACAAAAGTCGCAGTTGTCAGCGTTGGCGAAAACAACAACAACAACAGCGGCGACAGCAACACCAACAAATAAGGTGGCCAAAAGCGTTGTCAGCAATGCAAATAGCAATGGTAACAATTCAAGCAAAAAGCTGGCTTTGTCTCAGAAAACAACAACAGAAACAACAACAGCTGCACCAACTAATGTTGATAAAATGCAAAAGCAACAGCAACTAAAGCAGCAACTTTTTGCTGCCTGCAGCATTAAAGTAAAAAGTGAAAACACATTAGCAACTACTACAACGGCTGCAACAACAACAACAACAACACTTGCCACCGGCAAAGCAGCAAAAACAATATTAGAAAACAGCATCAAGAAGGAATCAACGCCTCCGGTGACGACGACAAATGCCGTTGAATCCGCTGAGGCAGCCAACTCCACCTCCTCCTCATCATCTTCTTCATCCTCCTCCTCCTCATCGTCATCGTCATCTTCTTGGTCCACGACCAGGAGAGCTCCTTCAGAGGACGCCAGCAGCAATGGTGGCGCCTCCGCCGACGAGGAGAAAACGGAGGAGGACCAAGGAGCAGCGGATGCTCCTTCAACGGCGACAACGACTTCCGATTTGGCCACAACTTCAAGGCCACGCCCCGTCCTCTTAACGGCCGTCAATCCGCACATCATCTGTCACCTGTGCCAGGGATATCTGATCAATGCCACCACCATCGTCGAGTGTCTGCACTCCTGTAAGTACATCACTTTGGAAAATTGTACCCCAGTTTTGGGGTGGGATCTAAGTCCAAGTCAATAACCTTTAAGTAGCCGAAAGATACAAAGTCTGTACACTTTTTTCCACTTTACTCTAACCTCACAATGAAAACTAATTCGAACTACCCTATTAGTGGAATGAAATCGTTATCCCTTGCATCGACTTTCTTTCACTTGAACAGTTTTAAAAGGATAAACTTTAAAAGTTTAAACTGATGACTGATCATTAGTCTTTAAAAGCCATTATAATTATAAATTAATGGAAGTAGTTCTAAGTATTTAAAAATAATAAGAAAAACGTAATACCTCAATTATCCTATACAGTTTTGATTAGACTTTGAGATATTTGGACTTAATCTGTGTCTTGTAAACTCCATTCAAAGGACCAGGGCTTCTAAGACTATGCCAAGTTGCATAGTCTAATCGCTTTGCCTTAATTAGAATGCCAACTGCCTCGTCCCCTCGATACCATCACCGCCAATACCAAATACCGAATACCCATTTAAATCCCAGCCTCCGCCTGTCTAGCTGTTCTGCAAAATTGCCTAGACGCGATGAGTTATGTTCGCTTCAGGGGGCGGAGGATTTCGCGAAGGGGAGGGTGCTAGGTGGTGGAGGAGAGGGTGGGGGATTTCCTAGGAGGAATGGGCGGGGCAGGGCCGCAGACGACACGCAGATGTTGCCGGGCGATAAGTTTGTGGGCACATTAATGGCCCCGGCCACGGAGTACTTAGCTCGATTGATTGAGAAACTGTTGAGACGGCGGGAGAGAGATGATGATCTCTCCCCCTGAAAACCCCGGATGTGTTATCAACGACACAGATATTAACACAACATTAGCATTCAGGCGGGGACTAAATGCCATAAAACTAGCGAATGTGGCCATACATCACCAGAGCCGTTCGTTTAGACATTAAAAGTTTCCCCTTTTTGCGGCGTAAGGTTAATTTTCCATTCAAGCGCTCCTTTTTCTCTGATTTTTTTTTTTTGCCGTTCGTAAATCTGGCAAACCAATGTGTTGATAATGGACACTGGATACATTTGGTCAGGCTCATTTAAATCTGTTGGCCGGCAGGGACAAAACGGACCGGGGGCCCAGACACAGAGATACATGCTTACGTATGTAGAGCACCCGGGAGTCCCATCTAACTGTCAAACGAACCGAACCGAACGAAACCAAACCGAACAGGAGTGGGGACGCTGACTGCTGAACGCTGGACTGTGGACTGTTTACTGGTGACCGGACCTGGGACTGAAACCGGGGACTCAGACCCAGACCCAGGCAAAACCAAAACCCAAAGCAAAGGCAAAGGCAGAGCAAACCAAAGCGAAAACCGGACTGTGGCAGCAACAGCTGCCTTCGCAGAACGCACAGCGAGAAATCAATGAATCATTAAGGGTTTCAAATAATAAATAAGTTTAGTTTGTGGAACACTATAACTAACAAGGAAGGGGAAAAATAAAGAGTTCTGATACTAAAGGAGAATACAATAAATAAATACATTAATTAAATACAAAACTTCTTTTTATATACAAAAAAATATGTATTTCATTTTCATTTAATGGTTGCAATTTAAATGTATACTTTGGTTTTTAAATAATATCTGTATTATAGTAGAATATGTAATTGAAAAAATCTAATATTTTTTAGAGAAGATTGATTTAAAGAAATAACCAAGTTCTAAATTTTTATATTTTTTTTTGAAATTTTTTGAAACAAATTCACTTAAGTTTAAGTATTTCTCTTAGTGTTCTGATGCTGCTGCAACTCTTGCAGAGTGCTGGCTGCTGCTCTCCCCATTCGAGGCCATTTGGCGGGCAGTAACAACAATTTTTTTGCTGGCCTGCACACGCCACCACCCCATACGCCCAAAAATCGCCCAACTAACCCCCCGCTTGTCCTTCTCAGTGCGAATTTTTCCTTTTATTTCACTCTGTGTGTGTGTTTTTTTTATTATTATTATTTCGGCATTGGACCAAAACTGACGGACAAGCGTAACAGGCGGCGGGCCAGCTTGGACTGACTGACTGTGGGACCCCAGTAGTCTATCCTCCTGCTTTATACATACAACGCCCCCTGCCCCATTGGAATCTCCATGGTCTGCAGTTGGGTGACAGTTGTAGCGGGCAGGATATCCAGGGGAAAACTGGGGAAAAGTGGAAGGGACGGGGGAGCTACGCAGACAGAGACACTGGCATTGACATTAAAGTCAAAACAACTTTTTTTGCAGCACGGCACGGCACTCACTTTGCCTTGAAGGTTGTGCTTCCCTGTTTCGGTTCTGTTCTATTTGGGTTTAATGTTTTTCCCTGGCTTCGTCCTCCGTTTTCATTTTGGGTACGTGGGTGGTTTGATTGCGTTTCCTTTCCATTTTGAGGGGTGGTGGTTGGGCTTTACAACAAATCGAATCAACGAAATCTGTTGAGTTTATTTATTTCGAATGCCAATGTGCATCGTAATTTGCCTATTTCGCGTACCAAAGCCCTCTAATTTATACTCGTTTTTTTCCTTGTACTCTCTTTTCAGTCTGCCACAGTTGCCTCATTAATCACCTGCGAAAGGAGCGATTCTGCCCGCGCTGCGATATGGTCATCAACAACGCCAAGCCGAACATCAAGTGAGTATGCAAGAGCCCTTTAGAAATATATATATAAGTTGGAGCACTGGCAGTAGCTGTGGATGCTCCTCGCAATCGTCTGTCTTTGACAACAAGCGATTAGATGATAGATACATAATGCAAGGTCGTAGACGGCAGGGGGGCCCAGGTGCTTGAGATTGCGATTCGTCGCTGTCTGGCTAAAAATAAGTGGCAGCTGAGGGGGGAAAGCATTGCCAAACCTTTTTGACAGCCCAGATGGATCTTTAATGGGGATAGCTGCGATGTCTGATAAAAGAGAGCTAAGTAAATTATTCAAGTTCTTGGCGAAATGGGTCTACTCAATATTTGATGTGATACAAAGCATTCAAAGAACGAATCTCAGGGTTTTCACAACGTTCATTAATCAATTTGCCCTTTCTTTATGAACTGAGTTTCATAACCAGTTAAAGGGAACATCATATTTAATATGGGAAAGGTTGTACGGCACTTTAGGAACTCCCAGCTCCAAAAACTGAACCTTTTGTGATATAACTTGAATTAAAACACCGGTAAATGGAATACCTAATCCCACTTTTGTTCAGTGTCAAAGGGCCAATTCTGAATGACGTTTTCTTCGAGAAGCTGTCTGCTGAAGCTTTTTATTGGATGATGTCTGCTGACTAATATAATCAGAAAATCAGTTCAAGATTAGCTCCTTTCATTTTCCCGCCTTTTTCCCAACCACAAACGTCACGGTCTGTGGACACTCACTGTAGCTTATAGCAATTTTGTCTTAGTTCGCAGCGAGATTGATTTTCCCCAGGGGAAAGGAACTCTCCTGAACCGGAGTAGTTTCTTCTTAAATGTTTCTTCTTCCTTCATTTTGGACCACACAACTTTTGGCATTTTCGGTGGGTGGAGGTGGTATCGGTATGGTTTTCCCCGCCAAAGTGGAGGGAAAAAGTTGATCAAAAACCTTTGCCCTAAGTGTGGTGTGGGCCTAAGAAAAGCCTGCTGCTCTCCTTTTCCACCTTTTGGAGTAAAGTTTTGGCCTGTGGTTAATTTTATTTGACGGAGACCAAGCATTTTCGGGAATGTCTAACTGTCTCGTCTGGCACGTTTCAATTCATTCCATTCCATTTCGCTGGGCGTAATGAAAAACACGTTTCATGTTCCGAAAGCTGAACCAGCGAATATATCTATTTAAGCCTTGGGCCCCGAACAACTTTAATGGGAGTCTGTATAGAGAAAACCACCCGCTGGCACCCCTCTTGAACCCCTTGGCCCCCCCCTTCCCCATCATCAAGTGGCACGTTGTAATCGCTGGCACACACAAAGAGATAATGAATACAAATTCAAAGAGCGGCGATATCTTGGGCAGAGGGCTGAGTAAATGAAGAGCAGGTGAATGAATGAATGAACCTTTTCGGGCTGCTGCTGCTTCAGCTTCTGCTGGCCAAATGGTGTGAAGTGGTGCCCTATGGATTGGAGCAGGTTACACTCGGATAAAATAATGAGCTGGATAGACCATTAAACTTGCACAAGTCTAAAGAAAATTAAGACTTAACTTTTGTATTCAATACGGAATATACAATTTTTTTTTTTATAAATTGGTATCCCACAAAATTTAGTTATTTATCGGTAGTATTTAACTTAAACTATCTAAATTTGTTATCTAAATGTTTTTAAAGCTGGTAAACAAAATTGGTTTAAATTTTTTTCACAAAATAACATTTTTGGGAGGTATTTAAATAGGCATGAGATAAACAATCCATTTCCGAGAGCTATAAAGATTAAAAATATTTGAATTACGAACGGTTTTCAATCGATTTGAGGGCCCTTTCAAGATTAAACTTAGCAGTTCAGAACCTAATTTCTCACCGTGTAGATATAGAGTGGAAGATATAGCGGGGATTTTGGTGGGTTCTACAAACAAGTGCCTTTTGTATGCCGCTGGCCATGTTTTCCATGAATTTTTAGTAGTATTGTAGTAGTAGTCTCGAGTCTCCAATTAAATTTATTGCAAAAGTTTATTGTTTAACCCACCGAAAGAAGGAGAAGCAGGAACAGGAAAGGAGGAGAGGGCCGAAAGGAAAGGGGAGACGAGGCGGGGAGAACAGCAGCCAGAACACAAAAGAAAACTCGCTCAGTTTGTCTTTACAAAGGTAAACAGAAAATAAAAGCGTTGTGAAAAAAATAAAGTAATACAAAATAAAATAAACTAAAAGCTGAAAGTTTCAACAGCTCTTTTGTATGTGTGTCAGGGGCCGGCCATGTTCTTATTGCTTTACAGCCCCCAAAATCATCTGATATAAACTGCAAAAGGGCAAAAGAAAAAGAAAAAATAAGAATAAATAATAAGAAACTGCAGCGACACGCAATTCCAAGAAAACCGAAAACAAATCCAAGTGCGGCAGAGATAATTAACGGGCGGGTCTTGCGCTGGCTTGAATTTGCCGTCGGCCAAAAACAACGACGACTGGCAGCAGCTGACAACAACAAATACGAGATGAGAAAAGGAACTACCATAATAATAACAGCTACAAAAACTGGGCTGAGTGACAGGCGCGTGAGGGAGAAAGAACGACAGCCCAACAGTCTGGCTTCTGTTGGATGTCTTCTTCTTTTTTTATATATTATTCCATCCTTGCAACTGACATTCAAAAGAGGCACTGAGGTGCGAAGAATAAAAGTTATAAATACTAAACTTTAATGGAGTTATTAAAAAGTGGGGAAGGAAACGGGTTAAAACGGATTAACTTTTAACATTAATTAAGACATTATGATTTGAGAAAGATAAAATGTCTTATTACTTTAAGGGGGTAGAGTCTTTTCTAATAAGAAATAAATTTTTTAAATTAATTTTTTATTATCATTTTTCATTACTTACATTGTAAAATTATTTATATTGTAAATTGATTTCGTAGTTTTGAAGTATCAGGTTCTTTATGATTTTTTAGTATTTTTATAAAAACACCATGAGGGCCCCCTTATCTAGTTAATATTTTGTCATCTCTGAATTACTTTAATTATATCCCCCTTTTATCACTCATCTCTCATTTCATAGTTTAATTAATATGGTTGTGAAAGGATGCTCCTAAATAGATCGATTAGAGATAGCCCCTTTTCCACTCGGCAATGATCGATAAATTTATGGCCCCGGGTTATGTAAATGAGAGCCATTTCATTCCCAGATCCCGAGACTCCGATGCCGAAGCCTTGCGCTTACCTAATTCCCCGTCCTCTACTTTCTGCCGCCGCCTGCCTCTTTTTTCATCATCTCTCTGTTCTATTCAAGACCTTTTTCGGTCTTCGTCTTTCGTTATTTTGGTTGAAATGGTTGAAATGATTGAAGTGAGCGCCTGGCTGCCCGGGGCCGTAGATGTTTTCAAAAGACGTCTTAGGGCCAGAGTTGCTCGGTTCCTGTCTCAGTTGCTGCGAGTGTGAGTGAGTATCTGGGGGGAAACCACCACCACCACCACTATCACCACTATACCATCGTCACCAGCGCATGCCAAGGAATACATAGTCCCAGTCCCTTCCCTTATTTTTTGTTCCGTTTTTGTATTTGTTGCGTGCCATTGAAGCAATAGAAAATTGCATCTGCCGCCTAATTTGTACTGCCCCTCTCCCCTGTTCCTCGTTTCCGCGCCAAGGAAGTCGCAAGTCCTGTGTGTGAGTGTGTCCTCATCCATGGTGACTTTTTCCATTTCCCGGCGGCCGCCTTTGTCTGCGTTCCATTTCACTGGGCACGATGCATCAGTTACCCCCAGAAACCCTTAAGACGTGCAATTCCTAATCCGCCGTTTGTTCCCTTCCTCCTCTCTTGCAGATCGGACACCACGCTCCAGGCGATTGTCTACAAGCTCGTGCCGGGCCTCTACGAACGGGAGCTGATGCGCAAAAGGGCCTTCTACAAGGATCGTCCACAGGAGGCCGCTTTGGCCACGCCCGAGCAGCGGGGCGATGATACGGAGCATCTGATCTTCAGTCCCTCGGACGATATGTCGCTATCACTGGAATACGCAGAGTTGGGGTATGTATCTCAGTAGTTTAACTAGTTATACCCGTTACTCGTAGAGTAAAAGTATGTAACATCTAGAAGGAAGCGTTTCCGACCCCATAAAGTATATATATTACTAGTCTTGATCTAGCCATGTCCGTCTGTCCGTCTGTCTGTTTGTCCGTATAAACGCTGAGATCTCGGAAAACTACAAAAGCTAGAAGGTTGTTTCTTTTCTTTAGCAACGCATTTATTTCAGCCGAGCGCCCCCCCCCCCCCCCCCCACAATCCCCCTAACGATTTTAAAATGTGTCTGGCGCCCACACCTTTAAAGATTATCGAGAAGTATAAATGCAATTTTGTTGTGTATATATATATATCAATCGAAATGTAGAAGACATTTTTCAAATCGGACCATTCATTAAAAAGTTATGCGCAATCAAAAGTATATAAATCCATCTCCCTCGCACTCCCTTTTGCCGAGTGACGGGTATTAGATAGTCGAGACACCAACCCGACTATAGCGTTCTCTCTTGTTTTATGTTAGTAAAAGCCTACCAGTTCCACTTTCTTGCAATTACTAACCTTTGAATTTCCATTTTCCCCCCTTTCTTCCCCCAGTGAACTGAAAATCGAGTCCGAGTCCGAGTTGGTGGACACACTGCGCCCCCGATATCTTCAATGTCCGGCCATGTGCCGAGTGAGCCACCTAAAGAAGTTCGTCTACGACAAGTTCGAGATCGATGCCCAGCGCTTTAGTATCGATATAATGTACAAGGTCAAGACCATCGTGCTGCTGGACTACTACACGCTAATGGACATTGCGTACATCTACACGTGGAAGCGGGATGCACCCATGCGGTTTTACTACCGGGTTTATGAGTCGCCCCAGCCGCTGGTGAAGCCCGCTCCTCGGCGAGTGCTGCCACTGAAGCTGGAGAAGCAGGAGAAGGAAAATCGACAGGAAGAACAGCTGGCAGTAGAAGCAGCAGCTCCGACGAAGGCGGAACCTGCGCCCTTGCCAGCGGTTCCTGCTTCCATTAAAGTGGAGCAGCAGGAGGCCATCAAGGAAATCGTGAAAGAGGTGGTCAAAGAGGCGGTAACGGCACCACCCACGACCGAGCCACTCAAGCTGGTGATCAATCGAACTATGCTGGAGAAGCGCGAGAAGAGTCACTCCCCGCAGACGAGCTCAAAGTCCTCGAAGAACTCACCCTCTACGCCCGTTTCTTCACCCTCTGAGCCCAATATCAAGCTGAAGATCGATCTGTCCAAGCAGAACAGCGTGACCATTATCGATATGTCCGATCCTGAGCGACGGGAGATTGTGAAGCCCCTGAAGCCCGAGAAGGAGTCGAGGTCCAAGAAGAAGGACAAGGACGGCAGTCCCAAGTCGTCGTCGAGCAGCTCCAGTTCTTCGTCGTCGAGTTCAGAGCGCAAGCGCAAGAGTCCCAGCCCGCTGACGGTGCCACCATTGACCATTCGCACGGAGCGCATCATGAGTCCCAGTGGAGTAAGCACGCTGAGTCCAAGGGTCACCAGTGGAGCCTTCTCTGAGGATCCCAAGTCGGAGTTCCTCAAATCCTTTGCCCTGAAGCCCATCAAGGTGAAGGTGGAATCCCCTGAGAGGATGACCAACAGCAGAGCAATTACCCCGCCTTCAACTTCAACTTCGCCTTCGTCGAAATCGAAGGGTAATTTGGACGACAGCATTCTCATGAAGCCGCCCAGCTGTATGCCTCCCAAATCGATTGCTTCCTCGAAGAGAAAGAGCAAGGAACCACTGAAGGCGGTGTCCAAAAAACCGAAGCTATCGCCCCCACTTCCGACTGTGGACTTTAAGATACGTCTGCCGGCCACCAATGGCAATTCTCCCAAGATAGAGAAAGCCACTGATGCCGCCGCCGTCAAAGCCACCAATGTTGGCTCCCCGGAAGCTACAACCCTCCTCCCAGTTTGCACCGCCCCCATCGCCCATGCATCATCATGCTGGAGTGCAGATGTCCGCTCCTGGCAACCGGACGCCCATCGCCAAGCGTTATCAGCCCATTCTGCCCAAGGCTTCGCGCCCGAATCCGTTTGCCAATATCCCGAATGATGTCAATCGATTGCTCAAGGATGCAGGTACCGAAATCAAGTCGATTGGCGGAGGATCAGGAGAGAATAACCAGAAGTCTCAAGTCTATGGGCCCAAGGGAGACACCAAGATGGGTCCTCCGGCTCCGCCAGCCAACTCGACCAACGGAATTACTGCTCCTCAGAGTAGCAGAAACCTCGGAAAGCAGGGAAGCAGCTCGCAGATGTCAGCCCCGAATAAGAGTAACAACTATCTGAATCTGGCGCTGTTCAATTCCAGCAAGTCCAAGGGCAAGGAGGCGCCTCCTGGCTGCCGCACGCCCATGTACACGCCCAATTCGCCCATCTACTCGCCCAGTTCGCCGCAGTATGTGCCCAGTTACAATATTCCCACGATGCCCACCTACAAGTACACGCCAAAGCCAACGGGTAATGCGGGAACTGGAAGCTATATGCAGAATGTGCTGGGCGGAGGATCTCTTTGTGGGCTGTTCCCCTCACCGCCCACCAAATCCGATCAGAATACTAATCCAGCTCAAGGAGGCTCGTCTTCTGCTCCACAAACAGCTGGCGGAAACGGAAATGCGAATGGCAATCTCTACCTGCCCAGTGAGGATGCACCCGAGAAGCAGCAGGTGAAGGTCAAGTCGCTGCTCAACTCGTGCAACATCAATATTCCCTCCTCGCTTTCCATCACCATCTCGCGCGACAATGGAGATCCCTCGTCGCCCAGCAATGGGCAGCATCCGAAGCACAAGAGTCCGGTTAATAACTACATTGAGATCGTTAAGCTGCCCGACCAGCCGCAGGATCAGGCTCAGGCCGCCAAGGAGGCCCAGAAAAGGCAGTCGCCACCTGCGGCAGGGCCAGGACCTGTTCCCGCCAAGCTGCCAACTCCGGCGCCCTCCAAGGCTATTCCTTCGCCGCAGCATTTAATGTCGCGCCAGTTGCCCCAAGTGGCCACCCCGCCGCCTCCAAGTGCTCCCCGTGTGATCACTCCACCGAAAACCTCACCACCTGCCAATGGGGCCAAGGTAACGCCTCTGAAGCCAGTGCTTACGCCCACGCAGGCGGATAAGAAGACGCCCAGTCCGGAGAAGCGCAGTTCCGCCCAAATGGGCAGCCATTCACCAACGGCAAGTGAAAACAAGTCGCCCAAAGGAGGAGCGAACTCGGGAGTGGCCAGCCAGAATGGAGATCCGGCGGCCAAGAAGTTCCGGCCCATCCTGCCGCGCCAGAATGCCATGCCCGAGCTGGCGCCCAAGTTGCCAACGCTGGCGCCTCCGTTGGGATTCAATCCACCCCAAAATCTAGCCACCGCCAAGAAGGTGCCGCCCAGCAAGAAGTCACCAAATGCGGGAGCCACTACTGGTGGTCAGCAGAAGCTGGCGAACGGCGGAGCACAGCAGCAGGCGTCGCAGAAACCCAGTCCGCCCCAGAAGAACCACCAACAGCAGCAGCAGCCGAGCAAGAAAGTGTCCAAGAACCCAACGCCACCGCCGCCATCCCTGCCAGCAGTGGCCAAAATGCTGCACAGCCAGAACGCCCCGCTCAGCATCGCCTCCAGCGCCAGTGCTGCGGCAGTCGCCTCGGGTCAACTGGACCTGACCAACTTCATCAAGGAGAACCTGATGCGCGTGCAGGCGGCGCAGGCTGCCCAGGCGGCGGCCGCTGCCAACCAGTCGAATATGATGTACAACTTTGCCCAGATGGGTCACATGTCCCCGGCGATGTACGGCTACCAGCAGGCCTATCTCATGGAGCAGCTGTCGCGGATGCAGCGCGCCGGCAACGAGGTGTTCAACGATTACCTGCAGAAGCTGAAGAGCGCTGCCGGTGGCCCGGGAAGCGGGGGACCGGCGGAGGGAGAGGTGAAGCCCATGCTGCCCACGGTGACGTTGCCCAGTCCGGCGGGAGCCACTCCGCCGGCAGCCAGCCCAAAAACCTCGCCCCTGCCGGTTGGAAAACTTGCGGCAGCGGCAACAGCAACGGCAACGGTGCCCCAAAGCAAGGGAAACGGCGGCGGCAGTGGAGCGAGTGCACGGCAACAGACGGCAGCCACCGCAGCCTCTGCCGCCTCCTTGCCACCGGCCACCAAGAGCAAGTGAAGGAAGGAAGGAAGCGAGTCGCATTTGCAACCCCCCACGTAGCTCTAATTAATTTTTAAAGACCTTGTTTTAGTTATTCATTTACGTTACCCGTTCGCTCGTCGTTGGTGCTTTAGCAGAGCCCACGACCAGAACCAATTCCTCGCCCTAATTACGGTGGCTTGAAATCCAACCCCTGCACCTGGGGGTGGATTCTCTTCACCCAAAAAAAAACGGAATAAATTGTTACACATCCAGCCGAGTGTAAACTGCCCTCGGTAGTGAGACAACGCTCTTGTAAATATACATTTATTAAACCCTACAGATTTTTAGATCTAACACAGTGATGTTGAATTGTATTAAAGAACAAACGGAGGATAAGACAGCGATTCAGAATCGATATATATGCAGATATACGAACTATATTTATTCATTTTACCCTAAGCTAAGCTAATCTAATCCTAAGTGTAAATACCAGTCGTAAGATACCATTTTGTATAATCTTTTGTACGTAAAATCAAGCGGAAAAATAGAAATCTAATTTATGCCAAAAAACGTTGACGTCTTTTACTGCCACTTCCTAATTCCCAATGACTTTAGCTCCGCACACACACCCAGATTCAACAGATCGGACAATGGAATGGCCCAATCCCAATGCTAATCAACTGGCCAAGGTCAGAGGTCGACCTTCCCCGTAGACCGACCGCTGCGTTTCGAGCGTCTCTAATCTGCCAATTCCCTCCGACTGTCTAACGGCGGCGGCGGCAAAAAAAATGTCAAAATGTCTTTAAAATGAAAAATGCCTGAACATTTCGAACATTCGACCATCGGAGACAAAGAGAATAAAGATTATATTGGGTTTCTCGCCTGCACGGATGCGAACACCACGAACCCGAAAATGCGGACGGGATGGCTGGATTTTCTTGCAGCCGTTTGAAAAATTCAATAAAAACGATTGGAAATTCTGTGGCCTTTGTTGTTGGTTCGCCCTTTTACCTTTTACAGTTTTTTTGGTTCTTTTCTGACCGTTTTTGCAAAGTTTCCGATTTCAAAAATGGGCAATTTTCACGAATGTGTCCCAAAAGAAAACCAATCCGACGTCTCGAATCTAATTCCTATAATGAATGTGATAAGATAGGAGGCATTCGGAAAAGGGATGAAAGAAAGATATTTCAAGGGGGGTTGAGATTGGGTGAAAATGGCTTGCCGCCTCAAGAGATTTATGCTGCACATGCGGTATGCGGCAACTTCCGAAGGCGGGCTCCACTTTGCTCCAAAAACAATTAACATATGATTCCGAAAAGGAAAGTTATCTTGGGGATCATCATCTGGCCTCCATAATTTATACGATTGTGCGGTTTAAGCCGAAAACTCCAATTACAATAATTAAAGCCCTGGCGCAAAGTTTACCTTTTCTCGCCTCGCAAAAAAGGAGAAACCCGAGCGGTTTGAACGCCCTAATTTCCACCTCCATTTCCACTTTTCCACATCCACATCCCAACGCCCCAAGTGGGCAGGGCCCATATGAAAACCAGCTTAATACGTTTGGCTTTTAGCGCATTAAATGAGCATTTATAAATCATTTGGCTAAGTACGAGTACTCGCTCGAAAGATGCGAAAGTGGGCAACGCAGTGGCAATTACAAATGCAGCATTTCGCTCAGGTAGTCGGTCCTCACACGTGGGATACTTCCCACATGCTTTTTGGTATAATAATAATGAATATTACATTTCAAACGCTACGCACAAGTTATAACTTCATCCACGAGTGGTTGAGCACATACAACAGACTTAAGTGTATGATAACAAAATATTTACCGATGTTTCAAGATGGGTCCCCAAAGTATGATTAATCGGAAGAAATAGAACCGACAACAACTGGCATAACACATAATTTCGTTATAAATTATTCAGTTAATCGTTGTATTTATTTTTGATAACTGCTGGTGGAACTCCATGTTCTATGTCCAAAAAATATTAAAACCTGCATATGAGAATAACACGATTTCGTTCTTTAGTTATGTATTTTTTAAACTTATCGATTTGGGGGGAACTTTATAAATTATTAAATTAATTTAATGATTTTTATTCCCTTGCAGAGGGTATTATAATTTTGGTCAGAAGTTTGTAACGCAGTGAAGGAGACGTTTTCGACCCCATAAATTATATATATTCTTGATCAGGATCAATAGGGGAGTCGATATAGCCATGTCCGTCTGTCCGTCTGTATGTCTGTTTCAATACCGTTTGCGAGCTGAGTTTAAAAGCTAGCGACTTAAAACTTTCACAGTCGTCCTAAAACATGTGTAAAAAACCGACCCGGTCGGACGTCTATATCCTATAGCTCCCATACACCCAGAAAAATGATGGACAAAATTTTAGGTCATGCATAGCCTAAAAAATTTAAAATGGACTAAAAGTTCATTTTTAGGTCATGTACTGCCTAAAAATCTTAATTTTTGGACTATTTTCCCTAGCTTTTAGGGAACATATAGCCTAATATTTTAGGTCATCTTGGGCCTTAAAATTATTGCACTTTACCTAAATATATTTAACAGTTGTCTGTCTGTTAAATATTGATGCTGATCCTAACCAAATAATAATTGTATTGCTTATTTGTATTTAATAAATTATTTAAGGTACTATTTTTGGAAAGATAATGTTTAAGTATTATAAGGCAGCTGTATAAAAGTGTTGAAAAATCCGATATAAGGGCTAGTACTCAACCCAAAAAAAGTCGTCCAAAACCAAATACTTCATATAAAAAACGTCACAACATTTTTGGTGTCAAAATTTTAATTGAAGTTTTTGGACGGCAGTACTTAGGCTCACAAAAATACCGCGCAAGAAATAATTAATTTTATATATTTCTTGAGCTATCGATCAATTCCGATAACAACCTAGTTAAATCCTTTATTAAAATACTCTCTCAAGGGTCGAAGACTATTTACAATGACTAACGAGTACTGTAACAATAGATATAGCATACGGTTGATTGCGCTGATAAAATACAAATTAAAAATTTGAATTTTAAGTTTGCTTATGTTTTTGAGCCAGTGTGACCAAAAAATAGCGAACGGAAATTACCAACACTGGACCTTCAAGAAGAAGAAGCACACAAGACAATACACAATAATAGTGTGCATTACATTTCGTGAAAGTCAAAGTGAATGTGTACAAGTGTCCTGGCTTGGATCAATTAATATTCTGGTAAGTAATCTAAATAACACAGGTTAAAAGGATAGTATACACAAAAGTAAACTGCAGACTTCCCAATTGTAAGAAAAAGGTCATTAAAAGTAAGGAACTCATTTTTCCCGGAACTTTCCATTTTACACACATATGTACATACGTATGTACATATATACATGCATCTGCATTCTTCTAGAACTTTCGTTTTGACACACATTCATAGATGAAACAGCGCACTTACTTTATAGTAGCTTTATTCAATTTCAAATTCTACTGTAAAAGAAAAGGCTTTAATATGTTGGCCTAATAAGTTAATATACCACATTAAATTTACTAATGCGCAAGTGAATGTTTTTGTATTCACTCATATATATACATATATTTCATATGTATGAACGCTTGTATTGGGTTCGTTCAGTTCGTGCTGCGCAGTAGGCTTACAGTAGGCTTACATTTATTTTAGATATGGAACAAATATTAAAAGATTTTAAATGCGAGAAGCTGAAAGAGTGCTTTGAAGGTACGACTAATGTAAATATAAAACCAAACGCCAAAATTAATTTTGTATTTTAAAAATAGAACATGGAATTGATGAAACTACCATACTTTTACTGACCGGTGAACACCTAAAGGAAATAGTTCCCAAACATCTGTTTGGGGAGCGTGTTCGATTTGAGCACGAAGTTAACCGCTTTAATGAATGGGTGAGCATTGTAGTCATAAAAATGTCCGTTTATGTTTTTTATAGTTGCTAAAAATTTCTATACTAATTTTCAGAAAAATGGACTTTCTGAAAATAGACCTATTGGGTATAACCAAATTGGCGAAAAGGGGAATAATGCTAGTAGCCAAGTCGGAGTACAGGCAAGAAAAAAACAATTCGAATTTTAATATTCATCCTTACATTACTAAATTATTATTATACCTCTACTAGGTTTCTGCTTTAGGCATTTTAAAAGTATACCCACAATTTGTAAACATCCAAGCACTTTATCGAAAGAAGGGCTACCTTGAGCCGAGTCACCGCAAACTGATAAGCAACTTAATTTGCGATTTTTTAATCAGTAATGGAATCGATTGGCAACCTAGGAGGTTTAAAGAAATTTCAGAGCAATTAGTCGAAATGTTTCCAACTGAAGTGAAGGTAGTAACTATATTATGTTAATAGAAAGGAATATTTTTCTAAATTTAAGTTTCAAAACGTGTTTACTTATTGAATTATATTTTGATAGGAGACTTACTATCTGCAAATCAAAAATAAAAAAGCTGGAGGTGTTTTGTGCTGCAGGTATAGAAACTCCTTGGCCAAACGAAGAGTCCTTGAGTCAACAGTCAACATTGAAGACGACGGAGATGAGCCTGCTGACGAAGGTGCTTTAAACTTAAATACATGTAGTATTATTAATAATTTGTTGCATTTTATTTAGAGAACGATAACTATAATAATAATGCAAAGTACTGGCTCAAATGCAATGTTGCCCCATTGAATATAGTCAAGGAACATTGGGAACACACCTTCTCAGAGAGAAAATTGTCGATTCAAACTGGAAGCAAGAACTTAAACGCAATTCTTGAAGAATGGCCTATTTTAAGACAGAGTTTTGGACATGAATTGGTAAGCTTATCTGTATCTTTGTTATCAAAATGAATATTCATTATACATTTTTGTTTAGATAAGTCGAGATTTTGAGCTTAAGTATCCAGAGACTATCATCGATTTGGAAACTCAATGGTCAACATTTCGATCAAAGTTCCTGCAACTATCGCAAGAAAGAGTGAAGGAAAATTACAGCCTGGAAATACTGAAGAAATTAAAAACGGATTCAGCAGACGACGGTAAAGTTTCCTACTCTGCTTAGGTCTACCATATTTATAAGTCCCTGCTTCCAGATCAACTTAATATTGCAACCATTACAATTTTACATGCCATCTTGAAACCAACGGCTCGTAAAGTGGTTAAGAAGGGAAACAACAAGAAAATTGGCGTAAAGGTAACAATTCAAGACTCGCGACAAAGTTTTTTTCGCACAGTTTTCATCGTCCGCCGAGTTGGAGAGTGCTATAAAAGAAAAAATCGAAGAACAGTTGAAGTGTAACGAATGTCTACAGCCAATTATTTGTGGTATCGGCCCAACCGTTTTGGAATCTACTGAATTTTTCGTTTATTATGCCGATATTTACTATAAGTTTACAAACATTTTAAGCGCAATTGAGTCTTGCTTTAAACTTTTTTATGTCCTTGATCTTAAATATCCTGAGTCGTGTAAGTTAGTATGGTTGTTTTTTCAAGAATATTTCTTTAACTTCAAGTTATCCGATAAAGATATACATCCCTCGGTGAAGTCATTAATTAATGACCTAAAATGAAAAACAAGTTCTTACTTTCATGAGTGCATATAATTTTGATTTAAATATTCTTTTTAAATTTTGAATTTTATTAATTTTTTTTTCCTTTTTACTTTTACTTTTTTTTGTTTAGTTTTTTTTATGTTTGGGTTGCTTCTTATAGTTATATGTATTTTTAAGTATAGTTTTTCTTATTTTCTTTAATTGAATTTTGTTACATTTTTTTTGTGTAGGGTTTAAGTTTTTTGAAACAATTTTAATTTTTTTTTTTATTGGCCTTTCCTGAATTAGATTTTTCATCGGCAAAATGCTTTACTTATTGTAAGAACTTTAGTTTTCGTTATAAACAAAAATATGTTATATTTAAAAATATTAATAATTACTATGTTATAAAAGATGTTATTTTACTTGAAGAAGAAACATACTTATTTGTTCAGGAGCTACTTACACAATTTATTCCAAATTATTATTGGTACGAGGTCATCGGATATGGAACACATAAAATATTTAATCTTACGAATATAACTAACCCGCCTATTCATATACATGCTCTTAAAGATAAAAACTATGTTAAGCCAAAACAATTTTAATTAGTTATAACTGAAAATGAAGTACATTGAAATAAATAAAAGACAATAATACAAATCTGTATTTATTTTTACAATAAGGTAGTTATTACCTTAATTTTTAGGTCAAATTTGTCCTAAAAATTAGGCTGGGGTCAAAATGAGAGGCTCAAATTTAAGGTCAATGCTGGCCAAAATTTTAGGCCGTTGGATGCCTTAAATATCGGACATGGGGTTGTTTATAGGCAGCCCATAACCTAGAATCAAGGCCACAAATTACTCGAATTTTAGGCCGTTAAATGCCTAAAATTTTGGATTGGGAGTTTTCTTACATTTTTAGGCAGCCAATTACCTCAAATCTAGGTTAAAAATTACCCCCATTTTAGGCCATTTATGGCCTAAATTTTTAGGTCATGGAATCCTAAATTTTAGGCCATTTAAGGACTTAGCCCCAGTTTAAGGCCAATTTTACCTAAATTCTAGGCCATTTTTTGACATTTTAGGTCATTTTTTTTTCTGGGTGTAGGAACAATCGGATATAGCTTTCAGAAAATGAAGATATTTCGCTCAGTGTAAGAGCTTTTGACATTAATCTTTTCTTAATCTTATTTTTTTACGCATACCTTGATGACCGATCGGTCGTCCATATCTTATAGATCCCATAGGAACAATAGCGTGAAATCGGTCAAAATTTGACGTTTTTCAGGATATTTCGCGCAGAATATAAGCTATTCTCATGAAACTTTACAAATTGTATTATTTTATGCATACCTTGGTCAGGGTAAAAGCGCGTGCCGATCGGACGTCTATATCATATAGCTCCCATAGGAACAATAGGGTGAACCAATTTTACATTTTTATTTTTTTCAATTGTAGAATATTTTTGTTGTTTATTAATTCATGTTGCTATTTTAGTCAAGTTTTCATTCGTGAAATCTGCAAAGGTATTAAAACTTCGGCTTGCCGAAAGGAAAGCTTATGAAAATCAGGTTAATTTGGGTAGGATCTCCCACCTTGGATCTGCGCCTGACTGGCTGACATAAATTACACATATTAAACTAACCAATTTTCGTTGAACTTGTTCTTTTATAATTCCAACTGGTACTAGCGCTTCTAGCACCAAACCAAAAGTTGAACACTTAAATCGGATTATGTTTTGGGATTACTTTTTTAATTTTATCATTTAGAACATTTATTTATCATAGATTTTATAACATCGAATAAACTTCGAGAACATTTTGTAATGCTCCCTCAGTGACGAATTTAGGATCTTGATGTAAGGTGTTTTCCAAAACAACTTCTTTTGTCATATTTTTTAAATACCACATCTTTAACATTTTACCCGAGTGGGGGATTTAAGCCTCTATTAGCTCCCCAGTGGATACGTCAATGTCTCAGAGTTTCAATTGACGACGCAAATTCATTGTTTTTAAAGATTAAATTATGTTATGACAACTTGCTCGTCGGTATTCTCGTACTTCTCGGAAATCTCACAGAAGTCGTTTAGCAGAAGAACTTTGTAAAATCAATTGAAAGCCCATGAAAACGTGACGTAATGAACTGATGTTATTACAAGTATAAATAAAACGATCGCTTTGTTCCACTAAAGCTAAAAGTAAATCAAAATCGGCATTACGAACTCTTTATGCTTATACATAGCATCTAAATATAGTTCTGTGGTCAATATCCGAACTCAAAACCTTTCGCCAATTTGTAGTTTTCCTATCAATTAGCAATAGAAAAAATGCTACGCTGTTTTTATGAACAGAGCCAATAAATCTAGCAGACACATTGAGCCCTCTCACACTACGAAATTCCGCTCCCTTCAACTTGTTGATGTTAACTTAAATCTTTTACTGCTGTGTTTGAATGAATTAATCCAGTTCAGTCGGCTGCATCTAAAGTGCCTCACCGGCAATTTGTCGTTGACATTGGAAAACTGGCGCAATTCATTGACAACCCGGTCTTACTTTGTGGTTCCTGAATGTTTTTCCTGGCCCAAGGGCATAATTAAATTCACACTTGGATAGATTAATGGCATAAGGGAGCTTTAAGTGGTGGTAGAATATTGATTATGTGCCTAATGAAAATATTTAACTACTGGGATGCAGAGATTTTTGCGCACACTAAAGAAATATGTATATTAAGAATATATTAAGATATTATATAAATATTAATATAATAATCTTAAGTGGATTCTTACTTTTAAAAGGGCCTAGAATGCATTTTAAACAAGAGAGAACGCTATAGTCGGGTGCCCCGACTATCAGATACCCGTTACTCAGCTAAAGGAAGTGCGAAGGAGGTGGAGATAAAAAATTTGATCCGCCGTAACTTTTTAACGAATGGTCCGATTTAAAAAATTTCTTCTACTTTTCGATAGGTATTGATAAACACCATAAAACTGCATTTTTACTTTTCCGAAATATTGAAATTTTTAAAATCGTATATAAGCGATTGTGGGCGTTAGAGGGGGCGTGGCACCCTTTTGAAACAAACTTGCGCTGCGTAGGAACTCCAAGAATCTGCATGCAAAATGTCAATCTTCTAGCTTTTATAGTTTCCGAGATCTCAGCGTTCATACAGACAGACAGACGGACAGACGGACAGACGGACAGACAGACGGACAGACGGACAGACGGACAGACGGACATGGCTAGATCGACTCGGCTAGTGATCCTGATCAAGAATATATATAGTTTATAGGGTCGGAAACGCTTCCTTCTACCTGTTACATACTTTTGCACGAATCTAGTATACCCTTTTACTCTACGAGTACGGGTATAAATACGTAAATAAAAATATTTTAAGAGCATTATCAGAACAATATATACCATAATAAAAAGTAACCCTTTAGGTTGTATAGTTATAAGATCTGAAATATCTAAGGTTTGATGGTCACTTCCATTTTACTTGAATAAATCAGCATATCTATGCTCTACTTTATATCTTGGCTTTTAGGAACTCAATCAACAAGTCAAGTGGCACATCGATCATCCATCAGTCACTTGTGGAGTTCACAATCGTCGGACAGCCGTGTGATTGCTAATTAAATTTCATCTGCTGAGCACTTGAACTTGTCGTTGTTGCTGGCCTAATTTATTGGCATTATGTAACAAATGGTAAGCACATAAATTGCTGTTTAAGAGAACCCAAAACAAATTGCCATTGGACAAAGGACGTGCCGAGTGTTTGGAGCTGGCAAGCCAAACTTTTTCCAAGCCGATACTTTTGTTTCCAAATCAATTAAAGGCAGTTCTTGGCAACTTTTCCCCTCGGCTCGTTTCCATGTGTGCTATAAGGAAAACGGGGGCAAACTGTTCGGTACAGGTTGTGCCGTGTAATTCCACCTGAATTCATTAATCACAAACAGTTGGCCAGCGGTACTCGCGGAGAATATGCATCTGATCAAAGTAACTGCGCCGAGAAAATTAGAAAAGTGAGACAATCGTTGGTTTAGATTGATATTAATTTTCCCAACGGTTGGCCGCTTCCTGCTAAATAATAAAAAAAGATATCAATTACCAGATGATAATCCCGAACTTCCCCCGTTTTACATTTCAATTGCATAATTTTGCAAATTTACTTAGCAAGTGTCAATGTCGGTAACACTTTTCCCGATCTGTTTGCCGTCACTTGCTAACTCAATTCATCAGTCCATAATTCGGTCGTGTAATCAAATAAAATGCCAGAATTAAGATCCAATTAGTGTGCCATTATGAATATGGATGCTCCCGTAGTCCGCAGCTCGAGTCTCAAGTTGTCTCGCTCCCCGTTTGCCTTATTTTTTGCGTGCCTGACAAAAAATGCGAATCCCAAAGACCGAAAAAAAGTATCAATTTACCAGCGGTGGAGGGCAGAAGGAACGTTGCGTCAAGGAGACGCCGGAGTTCTTCGACGGACTCAAGACAAGGCGAAATCAACGAAAATCCTGAACCGGAAACAGGAATAATAACTGCACTGTGGGAATAAAGGTTGCCTTACACCCAAAAAAAAAATCGACTGAAATCGCCCTTGGTTTTAGAAAATCGCCTATGAATTTGCTTTACTGGCGATTTTGTCTATATTAAAGAAAGTAGGTTTTTAAAATCAAAGACGTTTTTTTCTAAAAATCAAAAAAAATAGACTGCAATTTAAACATTTTTTGCTAGAAAGTAAAAAAATATTTCTTAGAATTTAGAAATAAAGGTTTTCTAAAAAATAGAAATACGGTTTTTTTTTAAATATAGACAAATATTTTTGAAGTAACAAAAAAAAAATTCTTAAATTCGGAAAATACAAAAATCTATTTTCGGGCTTCGGAATTATACCCGGTTGTTTCTGTGACGCCACGGCCTTTGTGTTGTTTTTTTTCGTTCTTGTTTGTCACCTTATTTGAATTTCCTTTAATTGAGCACATGGGTGGTTTCAAATTGGAACTGAAATGAGTGTACAAATTACAAATTATAAATATAAAAACCCAATAACTTACTATTTTGAGAAAAACATCTTGGTCGCCGCACGCGGGATTCGAACCGCTAACCGC